CACAGCGCCGCCTGCGTGGAATCGTAGTCACAGAATCACACACTCAGCAAGGAGGGAAAGAGACCTTTACGATTATCCAGACCAACCGTCCACTCGGCACTGTCGCTGTAATCTCTAAACCACATCATCCAGCGCTACATTCACACGCCTCCAGGGATAGCGACTCCGCCACCTTCCTGGCAAATCTATTCCAGCCCTTGACCACCCGAACGGTGAAAAATACTTCTATAATGTCCAATCTGAACGTCTCCTGTCTCAGTTTAGGGCCATTCCCCCTAGTCTTGTTATGATAGGCATGGCAGAAGAGACCAGCCCCCAAAACCTCCTTTCAGGGAGTGGCAGAGAGCAATGGGGTCCCCCCGACTCTCCTCGTGACTAAACAACCCCAGCTCCCTCAGCCATTCCTTGTAAGATATGTTTTCTAGACCCTCAGAGAACCTTGTTGTCCTTCTCTGGACACCCCAGGACAATATTCTTTTTAAACTGAGGGGCTCAGGAACTGGTCACAGCACGGGAGATGCGGCCTGACCATTGCAAAGTACAGAGGGACAATCCTTGCCCTGGTCCTGCTGGCCAGCTGTATTGCTGATACAGGCCAAGATACCGCTGGCGTTCTTTGCCACCTGGGCACACCGCTCGCTCATATGGGCTCGAATCCTTCTCTGCCGAGCAGCTCTCAAGTCAGCCCTCCGCAAACCCGTAGCACTGCATGGGGATGCTACGATTCAAGCACAGGATCCAGCAGCTCGGCTCCGGCTGGGAGGCAGTGGCGGGAGGGTGTCCCGGCGTCGGCTGCGCCTCCAGGCCTGGCCGCTGCTGGCCGTAGAGTCAGGCCTGGGGACCCTGGAGTGAGTCCCATCGGGTCCCGAGCCGGAAGGTCGTACAGCCGACTTGAATCGACCGAAGTGATGTTCCATGGCATGTAACATCACTCTCATCACTCGGGGCGTAGTCTTTCCAAAGTGACCATTGCTCAGAGACTGACCGCACATCAGCAATCTTCTTGTGGGAGGTGGTGATTGTCTATACATTTGGGGTTTTTCTCTGTTCCTCTTTCCCTCATCTACTAAAAGATCATTGTCTTAACCCACAGTTTTTCTTGCTTTTGCACTTCTGATTCTACCCCTGAACTAACAGCTGGCTGGGGTCACCCCATAGTGACCACAGAGTTCAGTCTGAGCAGAGGCCTCTGCTGAAAAAGGGGCAGGCTCCCCAATACTGGGGTCTGTGTGCCAATGGCAGGTCATGCACCTCTACTCACCCCCTGCCTTGTGAAAAAAAACATCTCTGCTCTTTCTTGCAGCTTTACAAATCTGCCTGAATTCCTCCTGATCCACGTGCACCCAAGCTCTTGAATGCCACCACAGCAGCATGTGAAAGCTCTTGAATGCTGTTAGATTGTACTCATAGCAAACAGGCTCTCAGCACAGGCAACTGCTGCTCTAGGGTGTTTTCTATTGCCTCTCATGAGATCTTTTATCAAGAGACTGTCAGTCTACCCTGACACGTCTGTGTGACTCCCTTACCTTATGAACACTGTGACCACTGCACACTTCACCCAGGATGCCACCCTCACAGTATGTAAGAAGTTGATGTTCAGTGTTCAAGGACACCAAGGAAAGAAGCTTTTACATTGTAAAAAAGGAGTCTTTCCACAATATTAAAAGTGTTTACTTTTTAATGAAGTCACAAGGCTTTCTGTGGTTTCAGAGGATTGTTTAAAAACATGATCTGCAAAGCTTCAAACAAACAGGCAAATTTAAACATGTAACTTTTATAGCAATTTATTATCAAAGACATTATTATATTGAAGTGAGCTTAGACTTTGGAGTTACCAAAACCAAGTTGGAGAGTCCCAAAAAAGAAGATGGACTAAGGTTAGAATTTGTGGGAAAAAATACAGCAGACAGTAGTCGACAGTTTCAACTGAGCTATTTTGGTTTTTTTACAAAGCATGAATTTATTG